TAGAGAGGCTTGGTGCAGGGGCTGAAGTCCACTGAAGTCCAGGAGGAGAGAGAGAGAGAGAGAGAGTCCAAACCGCAGAGGGAAGCAACAGGCCCCGTGCAGCTCGAGGGCTGTGCAAGAAGCCCCTGCAGGCAGCTTGGCAGCAGCCCAGGAAGGCAGGCTCCACTGAAGTGGGGGAAAAAAGCAGCAAGCCTGATCTTCTGCCCACTTGGAACCTGCCTGCCTGTCTGAGCTGCATAGGGGCCTGGTGCTTCCCTCTGCGGCTGCGGCGCCCCCCAGGACTGCCCGAGCCGGGTGCCTGTGGGCTGGTGCCTCCTGGGGGGCGCCACTGCTGTCACAGAGGGAAGCACCAGCCCCCCTCCCCATAGCTCACGGACCACTCAGTCCGCCAGCAGCTTGCTCTCCCCTCCCCGCCATCAAAGAGGCAGGTAAGGGTGTGTACACGACATGGGGGTTTAATTCTCCCTAAAGTGAAGTGGTGTTTTTGAAGTGCCTTCTATTCAAAAGCTTGTCTGATTTTATCCCAACCACGTAGTTGTTCCAATAAAAGATTTCACTCACTAAAATCCTTGCCTCTCATATGATTCCTAGACCATCATGGCTACAACTTTGCTCCAACACCACCGACCTATGAAGATTTCTGTACCATATTCATTCACTTTCCTGTGAGACTTTCTGTCCAGTGGCTCTCATCTAAAATGTCTCTACACAAACCAGCACACGATTCCAATTTTTAATCTCTCAGGTTTGCACCTTGTTCTGTCCTCAGGTACTTGCAGTGTTACTGCATGGAAAGGGCACCAGTATATGTTACTCCTCTTGTTAATAATTGCCAGGGTTATTTGTAGTTTTTACTACCAATACCAGCTTTTGTTCTTCAATATTTGCTGTATTCAGAAGCAGAAAAATGTAGAATGCTACCTGTGGATCAGGGTGTCTGCTAATAATAATCTGTACAGCACCAGGACTGCAGTGGGTTAGAACAGCATAAACTTCATTAAGTGTCATGTTTTGGACAGCTGCTTCATTAATTTCTAGGATTTCATCTCCACACCTATAAAGGGATGAAAAATCCAATGAGAGGATGGTAACAAACTACATTGGTTTTTCTAACATATGGTCTCACTGTGACTTTTACTACACAAGATGGACATTCACATGGCTGAGTTCCAGCATGATCAAGATTAAATTAGGGTATCTCATCAGGGCCTCAGTCAGAAAATAGAAAGGGATTGGACATATAGCTCATTGTTCCATTCTGCGTGAATAGGAGGTCCCTGTACTTGGAGCAATGTGTGTTTTGTACTCTAAAGACATGACAAAACTGTTTTTCACAGTTGTCTGCTGTTTTCACCCACATCTTCCTTCCTGCCACCACTGTGACATTTCACTTGTTGCGTGTTTAAAGCTGCATTGCATTTAAAAGTCAGAAGGAACAATATAGTAGCTGTCCTTTACACTCAATATAGGAAAATAACTTGTTACAAATACACTTTTAGAGACTGGCCTCTGACATCAATCTTTGTCTACAGTTTGGCTCTCTAAGGCTTTCATAAAGAAATGAAACATTGCCCCTTACGCGAATATCTCATACTTTCTCTGCCCTTCCTTCCATGGGGCTGCGGGGCTGTGCCGGACTCCTCCTGGGGGTGTGGGCCCCTGATCTGCACTCCAGATGACAGAAGGCTGCTGCTGCCGCCTAGGACCAGTGCTGGGCACAGCCTGCACCCAGGGCCAGGAAGACTGGTGCTGCTGCTGGCCCCAGGCAGCATCCTCCTGTCGTTCGGCACACAGATTGGGGCCTGCACCCTGCAAGGAGTCTGGCACAGCCCCGCAGCCCTCCTGGGGGTGCGGGCAAGCCCCCAATCTGCATGTCGGATGACAGGAGGCTGCTGCTGCCACTTGGGACCAGCACTGGGTGACCACTGTACCCCTGCCTGAGCCCTGCAGTACAGGGAGGGAACAGAGTACAGCCCCAACCCTGCACGCCCCACAAACTGGAGTGAGCAGCAGTGGTGGGGAATGAGCTGTTGCTCAGTGTGGGGGGAAAAAGCAGCCACTCCTGCTCCCCATAGCCGGCGTCCCATGGTGCAGTCGCCCACAGCTTCGGAAGGGCTGCCCTGCCTCTCCGCGGCATCGCTGGAGAGCCAGCACAGGCAGCCAAATACAGGCTCTGAGTGGCTGCAGCGTGAGGCACCAGCCACAGGGAGGGGGAGCAGCCACTTTTCCCCATGCTGAGCACCAGCTCATAACCCGCTACCGCTACTAGCCTGGGCCCCGTGCCGACTCCGAGCTGAGGCGTGACAGCAGCAGCTGGGCAGATGCTGCTGCTGGGCACAAATGAAAGTGGCCCCTCTGCTCACCGCCTCCAGGCAGTGTTTGGTGTGGCTGCTGACCAAAGCCTGTGCCATGCTAGGCTGTGGTGGGGCTGCTTCACCATCACCTCTGTACTGCCCAGTGAGCAGCTGGGCTACAGGGAGGGAGGGAGCCACTTTTCCCGCATGCTGGGCACCAGCTCACTCCCCATAGGTGAGCATGGGGTGTGTAGGGTCAGGGCAGCATGCTAGGACCACAGCTGTACCATGGGGCCCGTGCCCCAAGGCCAGCGCCAGCGCAGTACAGAAATGGTGATGAAGCAGCCACGCTGCAGCCTAGCGCAGAGCAGGCTCCAGTTGGTGGCTGCACTGCCCAGCCAGGGCGAGCAGGGGAGCCACTTTCCTCTGTGCCCAGCAGCAGCTTCTGCCCAGCTGCTGCTGCCGCAGCTCAGCCCCAACAGGTGAGCCTGGAGCTGGCACAGGGCCCAAGCTAGCAGTGGTGGCGGGTTATGAGCTGGTGCTCAGCACTGGGTAAAGTGGTCTCAGGCGAAAGCAGCAGCCTCCTCTCATCTGGCACACAGATCAGGGTCCCACACCCCTGGGAGGAGTCTGGCACAGCCCTGCATGTGTCCTGGGGGTGCAAGCCACCAGACCTGCGGGCCAGATGACAGGAGGCTGCTGCTGCTGGCAAGTCACGAGTTTTGGTTTGAACAGTTTGAGGTGCAGTTTCCCAGAATCCTCTATACCTATCTCTTGAAACTTGGCAGGCTTCATGCTCTCAAAGGGGGCTACCATCCCTGCATGTTTCATTTGAATTAGACAGGAAATGACAAAGTTATAGGTCATTTCATGCTTCCCCATTATAGTCTATGGGCAAAATGTTGAAACGGTGTTGAAACAGCGAAACAGTTTTGACGAAATGAAACAGAATAGTGCTTCTGAAATTAAACAAAACTCAGAACGAAACACTGTCCCACTGAAACTGCAAAACAGAAGTCAAAACAAAACAGTGCTGTTTCACACAGCCCTAGTAAACATCACTCCAGCTAAATGATTCGCATTGTGCCATGGGAAATAGGATTCTGGGAGTTGTGCAACATGGAGATTGTGCAGGGTCCGTGCACAAGGATAGTGGAACAGATGGAAGCAGAGGAGTTGGCTATGGGTTGTGCCTATACAGATCAACTAGTAATGCTTTTTAAAAGAGAGGGAATGAAGTAACCATGGATGCTACTGGAAAGGTGACCTCCATGAACCCCTTTGATAGCTTTAATTTTGAAAGGACAGCATTTGGCACCAGGACAGATCCTGTCAATGTTTAGTCACTCTTAGTTCTGTTCTCTTAATTCTCCATTCTCATTTGGATGCCTTACTGTCCTATTTCCTCCCAGCTTAATCCCATGCCTGTGTTCCAAGCACTGACCCACCAGCATGCAGAGACAAGGGCCTGTCCTGACAAGCATGCACATGCAGGGGCATGTGTTTCTCATGGGACAAATAGCAGCCGCACATATTTGTGAGGCTGCTATTTGTCCCTCAGCATGCCCTGCACGCATGCTCCAGCACGTGGCAAAGTGACCCGGATAGGGGAGGGGAGGTTGGGGCCAGCACCCTTACCTGGGATTCTGGGAGCCTCCCAAGGCAGCAGCAGCACCAAACTGGCTGCTTGAAGCCTGGTCAGAGCAAAAAAAAACTCCACCACTGAAAAAAAGCAGTATGGTGCACATGGCAGTAGCATGCGCCACCAAAAAGGGCACATGGCTCTGGCTGCCAGCCAGGCTCTCTTTCTGGCAGCGCTTGCTGCTGCCGTATGTGCCACACTGCTTTTTTTCAGTGATGGATTTTTTTGACACTGGGGCCACAGGTGCGCATGCGCCACATGCAGTTTGCAGTGCATCATCAGGACAGGCCCAAGAGCTCCATCTGAAAGGGCCAGGCTTATTTGTCAGGTGAGTCTAAAAAGCTTTTTGATGGAACATGCAGTTGGCATACCTGAGTCTCCCATCCATATGAGCCACGGACCCCGGTGAGAGTGTATGGATAAATATCCCCGAAATACACTGGAAGTAAGGGATGTTGCACAAGCCAATTCCTAGGCCAACCCCAGGCTCTGAAATAATTTGTTAAGATCTGTTATGAAATACGTTATGAAATGTGTTTAAAATGTGCACATCAGATCAACTGGAGAACACTGGTTCTACACTATAGCACAAAGCTTGCCAGTGCAAAACTAAGCCATGTGTATTTATGTATTTCACACATGCAGATGAAGATTTTTTTATTCGTTAAGTGGCAGATACATAAATAAAGTTTTGCTGGTTTCAACATTTGGTTCATAATTCATTGGTAGCATGTCACAGATACAGCACGCTACAGCTTTATTTTGCAAAAATCTCATTCATATCCACTGTATCCCAAATCCCTGTACAGGGGAAAAGCACAACAGAAGGAGACAGAAGAATTGAGATGTGGTGTTTGTGCATGGCTTGACACTTTCTCTCTCTTTCTCTGTTTCATGCAGCTTGAGATTTCTAAGAACTCATCCCCTTTGCAGGGAGCAGCCATTTGTCTCTTAGAACTGCTACCGCCTCATAGGTGAGTCATACGCTTGTGTCATGGCATCTTTACTTGTGTTCTTTATTTCGATGCCCTTGTTCTAAAGTATAAAGAAGAGTGCAAGTATAACGTAAAGTGGATCATGGTGAAGGGCTTCCCAAGTTCTTCCTGTTTTATCTGGGATCAGTTTTGAGGCAGAACACATGAATGTGGTGAACTTTATTGGCTGATAATGTCTGGTCCCTCACCTCTGGGGCATTTAATACGTGCTTGGAACAGAACAAATGTTACATCTGTCTACGCCCTAAGTCATTCTGCCAACACCTGTGATTATTGTTTATAAATAGAAAAACAAAGCAGCTGCGGGAAGAGACAAAAGAAATGCATATGTTTTATATGCACATGTTTCTATGTGTTACTAAGTCATAAATTAGTTGAATTATAAAGTTTAAATAATGAAGAATGAGAATGGGCAATGTGCTTAATTAGGAGAGAAGACGGGGCTCTAAATTCCTTGTTCAGAATAAGTTTAGTGACCAAGCCACACAAAAAAAAGATTGATTGGCGCTTGTGGAAATACAGTAGGCAAATGCCAACCTTTGATGGATTGCTGCTATCCTTTTCAGGAACTGAGTTCTAAATGGGGCATATAAAAAAGCAAATTTCTAAAAATAGATGAGGGATTAGGATAAAGTGAGAAGAGACAGGCAGAAACTAGCCAAGCCACCAGTTTGTGACTCAGCAGCTTGGTTGTGAGCATGCACTTTATTTTACCACTTACCTTTGTTGAGGGTAACTTCCATTATGACCCTGTCATTGGGTTTTGTGGTCATTAATGAGAACGTTGTACCTTCCGAACTGAAGGAGCTGTTTTCCTTGGTTATGCATGTGCTAGCGCTCAGTGACCGGCATAATTGGGACGACTGATAGCTAGAGGCAGAATGAGGTGTGCTGAGGCTTGTCCTGACTGTAAGTGTGAGAAGACCCTTTTTCGCCTGCTAGAAATGAACAAAAAGAAGATGAATGGGTGAGTTCTCCCAGACATGTGCAAAGACAGAAATTGTGCTGGGAAGAGAAGGCATAACCTTGAATTTTTGTAAAGCATCATAATGCGTTAATCCATACATCGATTCTCCATTCAGTTCCAGAATTTCATCACCTGTTTTGAAAAGGAAAAATAAAATTGCATTACTAATTGAGACACAAATGATCCCAAAATAGTCTTGCCTTGAGGCAAAGGCAGTAATGCATGCAGATGAAAAAATACCATTTAGAGGCTAAGTCACCTCTCATTGATTTTAACGGATCCAGATAAGGCCCATTAGTAGTATTATACTGCTGCTATAATAAATATGGTGTGCTGTACCTTTTTACAAATAAGAGAACTCAATTTGCCCACAGTTGATTAAGGTAGGACTCTTTGCAGCTGCTGGAGAAGCTTAGATTATTACATCTTACAGAGTAATGAATAGGCAGAGCATTACAAAAGCATTGAAATTATGCTGAAAAGATGGTACAAAAATAGCAAAAATATTAATCTCTGTCATCAGATCTATTTATAAATGCCCAGAAAAAACATGGCATTTGCTAGCCTCCCTTCTGAGTCTGCAACCATACATACCATGCCAATTAGGCTGTGATGGGTTGGAGTGTTGTTGTAGCTGTGATGGTCTAGGAAATACGCAAGAAACAAGAGTGTTTTTGGTGATGTCTTTTATTGGATCAACCGTATAGGTGGGAGGAATGTTAGCCAAGCTTTCTGGCATCAAGTCCCCTTCCTCAAATTGTGGACGTTTGCCACGTTGGAATGGAATGAAATCACCTCCTCATTCACAAAATACTTGAGCTGGAGTTTTAACCTTATGTCACCAGCCCCTCAAGCCATGTGATTCTTCTTTGCTATGTATTTTAAAGGTCTGTTTTACATATTTACTAAAATATTTTAAAGGTCCTGAAAAATCATTCCAAAGATGTTTTAGTAACTTCTCACCTTCTTGTAACCTCCCATCAGCAGCAGCAGCTCCACCTGGAAAGATAGTCTTAACGTAGATGCCTATAGGTCCATAAATACTGTCCTTCCCTCCGACAATGCTGAAACCCAGACCCTGATTTGCAGAGGAGAGAGACAGTGTCCATGCTTATTTCACAGCTTGGTTTGTTTTCTGTGGTATAACATTATGTGGGCAATATAAATTGTCAGAATGATATAGTGAACATGTGTCCATACATTAAAAATATGTAAAATAAAGCAAATTGATCTGATTCTGTAAATGCAATGGAAGTTTTAAAATATTCTGACGAAATCAGGCATAATGGTTAGCACACATTTACACTCCTTATGTCTACACTGTATTACCCACTTTGCCATTGATGCAACATGGGATCTTGGGTAAGTGAAGAAACTTCTTTTCACCTCAGTTTCCCCCCTCCCCACCACTTCTTGAAATGTTTTGGATACAAGAATGATCTGAGCATGTTGTGGCATTATTTTATTCCTGTTAACTTAGGAGGGATGTTCTGAAATTGTACTAGGGCCAGATCCATAACTAGGACTCTCAAGTGCTACCATAACCCAGGTCATAAATAATATTTTTGTATTTTATTGCACTTCACAGAATGATTCTCAGTCAGATCTGTCATCAACACTGTTATTTAGAAATAAGTTTGATCTTTATTAGGGCATTTACAAGCCTAAAAGCCCATGTTTAAGCTTTTAGCTTCCATATTCTCTATTTATGCATCCCAGGTTGCAAATGAAAGTCAGTGAAAACTAATTGCATTAGCTAATGCAAATATGGAGCCAGAAAGGGACAGTATACCCACTTCCCATTTTTATATAGAAGTGCAGCTATTTTCTCTCTCACTTGGATGAGATGGTTTAGGCAGTAATGATTCTGCCTTCAATAGGGGTTCAAACTAGCATGTAACCTCCTGAGGTCTCTTCCAGCCCTATTTTCTGTGATACTCTGTATTTATAAAAAAAGTCTTATTTGCCTGTATGTGATTTGATGGATGATCAAACTTCTTTCCTCTTCAAAATCAGACCAGAGCAGAAAACAAGACTCTCACCTTGCCAGATGCTGAGTCCCTGCTCAAGCTAGTTGAGGGCAGCTGGCACCTTGCAGTCTGCACTCAACAGGTAAGAGGATACAACCAAACTGTTAGTTTTGTTGTGCTGAGGCTTAGGAAAGGAGCTGAATAAAAGCTGTTATTCACCCACAGGTCTGATGTGGCATGGATAGGATAGTCCACTATTCAGCCCTGACATGAAAGAAACAGTTATAGAAGAGATAAGCTTCTTGGGTGCCTGTAGATGTAATTACAGCACGTCAGAGCAGACTCGATTAGTCAAGTCTGCTGAAGCGTCATAAATACCGTGCCCCAGACAGCCTCCATGTCTTGTGTATCAGCATCTCCATGCTTCAAAAGAGTGGCGGGGGGCCTTTAACTGAAGCTCATTGAATGAACTTTAGTTCAAGCAACCCTGCCACCATTTTTGAGTGCATGAACATGATACACGAGATACTGGTGCTTTAATTAGAGCAGTTCTCAGAGCCGTTCTAATTAAAGCACCCCCTACTCCCACCTTGGAGCATGTGTAAAAGTGCCCATTCAGGCCTTGTCCTCTCTGTTAAAACTGCCAAGGGTGTCAAGGAATATCAGTCACATGGTTTGGATATATTCAATAGCAACTAACTGTGACTACCACTTCCAGGTCTCAGATGACTACCAGAGAGCCAATAGATGGTGATGACTTTTTGCTCACTCCTGCCTACAGATGGATTTGAACTGGTAACCCAAAGGCTTGATATCCTTTTACCAGCTTCCCTGCCCATTTGATAGTGAAGTTTATACCGGACAAAACAGTGAACATTTCAATCATGGTACTGATTACATGGTACATAGAAGCATCTCACCTTTCCTTGGCCTTTCATCAAAACAATGTTTGAGATTACAGATGCTTGGGAACTGCAAGATGCATGCATTAACTGAGCACTGCTGAGTGATCTAGAAGGTCTTGAAACAGGCTGCAAACAGAAAACAATGGTTTGAGTGGAGTTCCAGGCATTCTCATACATAGCAGATGAACACACACGACTGGTCTGGGGACTGAATTCAGTGTCCCAGTGGAGACCTCATCCAGTCCTATAATCCTGTGTTTCAATCTTCTCTCCTTATATTTAATTATTTTAAATATACCATTAGTAAAGTAATCCTCATTTTTATGTGTCTATTGTTCTCTTCACTTTTCAAGGAAGTGTTTCTATTGAGCAGGGGTTTTTAATTGAAATGTGACAATATGTGAAAATCCCCAGGATGACTATATGGGTCATGATTTCTGAATGCTGTACAGAAAAAAAGCAGTCTTAATAGAACTATGACATTCCCACAAGCAGAAAGCACAGGATTTTAAGTGGTGGAAGTAAATTTCTGAATGAGTCAGAGTGCTTGTTTAGCCAGGCACCAGTGGATTAGAGCAGAATTGTCTGAACCCAAAGCCAGTACTTCTGCACTTTTTCAAATGCACAGGATACTAAGACTAAACCCTGAGGATGTGCCTATATGCTATTCTAAGCCCACTAAAATTAGACAAGTAATATATTTCATTAGACCAGTTATAAAGTTGGTACACCTGTTGTAAAAGACAATCATGGGGGCACAAAACACCCTACATCAGGTCTGGGCATTTGGGGTCTGAAAAACATACCTAACCTCTCTCCCAGCAAGAAAGATATTAGCAAATAAATCTGCATTTTACATGCTATCTGGATCATCATGGTTACAACAGGATAATATTACTACAATTGTTTATATACTCAGCAGTTATAATTCATTGTTAGATTTGTAATGTATAGTGTACTCCAGTCAGGTGCAAGGCCTTGAGACCATGCACTTCCTGTGAGTCTGCCCTTACCTGTGCAGAGTGTAAACAATCCCGGGGAATAGCCTGTGCAAAATACTTTGCACCTCATTAAGACTTAGAGGTAGTTAGCCTTGTTAGTCTGAAGTTATGCAGAAAGCAGGGTCAGAGAATATTTAAATGACTTGATTCCTTTCTATTTAGTACCCCTGCTCTCTGCAAGTCCATTTATAGCATCTGACAAGTAGGCTATAGCCTAAAGAAGCTCATACTTTTTCAAGACTTGTTTCCTTGCTGGGATGGGTACAGAAGTGCTCTGTGCATGTTTTACAGTGCTGTAATTTAAAGCACTTTTATAGCACTATAAAGTTGCAGTGCTCTTAAATGTGACAGTGTTTGGTGGAGGGGGCCTCTCAGCCTCCCTGCACTTTCCAGGCTAGGAGGCAGGGGGTGCTTTGCAGCCTCCTGGGGCTTCTCCACTGGTCAGAAATTTGACCATCATACAGAAGTTATTTAAAACACTGTAGGTTGCTAAAGTGCTGTAAAATACAGTGCTTCAAATTTAATACCTCATTTAACAAGGATTAATTTACAGCTCTGTATCCATTTTTAAAGTGCTGTAAAGCTCTGCACTTCTGTTAAGTCATGGCAATAAAGTGCTTTAAATGGCAAAAAAAGCAACTTCTATACACACCTTTGTTTCTCACGGCACTTTAGAAGGCTTGGAAATGACAGCTTTCCCTCAATTTCCATAATTACTCAGTTATATTTCAATGTAGAAGAATTCAGCAAAGTAGGCTGAAGAATCCCTGTGCATAATAAAGATCTTGTGCATTTAACCAAAAGGGGGTAGCTGATGTTTCATAAAATGTAAGCAATAGGCCAAAATTAGGGCTAGTGTGTTATGTAGTTAAGTGAATTAAGCAATAATCTGATATGCATATAAATGGAACAAACTGGACTCTTTATTTACTTGGTGTCAGATGAGAGTCTAGGCCCTACAAATATTAGTGGTGTGGATTACCTTAAATGCACATTTTTGCCAAGGCATTTGTGCTTTTGGACATCAGGGTCATGACAGGGATTGTCTAAAGACTGCACTGAGAATGTTAAATTCTTATTCCTGATCCTATATTTGTTGCTGATTATTTCTGTATATGCAGACATGTCACATGTTTTTGGTGTTTCAGTTTTGCTGTTCATAAAATGGTGAAAATTATAGTAACCAATAATATAGTGCCTTTTATAGTATACTATTAGTCAATGCCTCTACATTGAAGATTTAAAGTGCTATGTGTTGTTGTTAAATAACAGCATAGAATTCTCCCCCTTGATTAATGTAAGAAGTAGGAGTTACTTTTTGTTGACTATAAATGGTGAGAAGGTGATAACAGTTTACAGACAGACCACTTCCTTCACCACATGAGACGCGATGAATTTTAATAAGAGTCTATAGTGATACACATAATGAAGTCCCCCTGTCTGAACATTATAGAGTGGATATTGCAAAGCTAATTTAAGCACACAGTTGAGTTATTACCCTAGGCTAAATTTACATAAAGTTCAGCAGGGCCGGATGCATTTACAATGAAACTCTGAGCAAGTTGGATTTTCTACAAATTTGTTTATGCAGTAAAGTGAAACTAACAGGTGTGGAGCAATCTAGTGCTTGGGATCCCAGCCAAGAAATCTGCTTTTACATATGTCAGGAAATAAGCCTTGAGCATTACATGAACATTCACTCAGCACAGAGCTAAGAAAGTGAGGATCCAGGAGATGTCTGGGCCAGGCCACAAATATGCTGTGATACGCATGTGTCTATCAGTGGTGTGGATTATTTATCCCTCAGATGAGGGACTATATCCCTGTTAGGGATCTGAAGGATGTACTAAAAGAAAGGTATAAACTCACACGTAGTTGATTCGCCAAGGCTGAAATTTATCTCACTAAGGAGGGGCACTTCTTCTAGCAGAAGCTCCATGCTACTTACATGTGGCCAGCAGGACAGATTAGCCATACCAGAGGGGATGTAGACAGATGTAGCAATTAATATCAAAGGATACCAGTGTAAACTGTTATGATGCCAATGTTACATCTGCATGATGCTGTAGTGATGCAAGTGTAGGAAAAACACAGTACAACTTTAACCTGTCTTTCTTCAAGGCCAAAGTTAGTTTTACTCCACTTTTCACTAACACTATAGGATCACGCAGACAGATCGTAACAGCTGATGTGGGTTCCAGGAAACAGCTCCCCTCCCCTTTCAAAGTGACTAAGAGGTACGTTTGTCCATACCCAGAGGTAATCCCCTGGTTGAGGGCTGGTTGTGCTAGTGCACTCTCTGCTAACTTTACACATTCACATGTGTTCAGGGTGAAATGAAGAAGGGGCCTCTGTGGATCCATGTGTAACTACAAAACCCTGCATAGGGCAAGTGGAGGGGCAGTAGTTTGCTGGAGAAGCAACCAGGAAGGTCCCATGCTCTCCTGTAGCCTCTCCTGCTATCCTGGCCTTGTTTTGCACACAGTCATTTTAATGTTTGTGCAGGTATGGAGTTGGGATGGGGAAAGGGCTGACAGGCAGAGGTGGCATGGCTGACGTAGCACAGAGATGCACAGATTCTTTGTACTGTTATTCCTGCCTCGATGTGGCCTTCAAAGTGAGGATGTTCTTCCAGGAAACCCAAATGCAAATATTCTTTGGTGTGTTCTTATTGAGCCTAGTGAATTTACCCCTTCTGATATGTGATTTCCTGTTGTACTTACCGGAGCTCTTCCTGCCGAACAGTCTAGCTGTTGAGAGAGTGATTTCTGGTTACAGTAAAGAGAATAGGGCTGTCTGTCTCTGTATGCCGCTGCTTTCTTGGCCATTTGACAGTCAATTTCCCCTATCCAGTAAGGATTTACACCTATTAGAGACAGGACATACAACACACAATTTTTCACAAGCATTTGGTTCAAACACTTCTGAATGGAACAGTTAAGAGGTGCTCAATAAACTCCTCTTAGGAAGACGTTTTGGGTTGTGAATCTAACTGGTGAGGACGGGAGTCCCTGAATCCTTAGAAGCCCCCACTGAGTTTCAGGTGCACTCAGTTTATGTGACTTCACCTTCGCAGACTGTCCCACATGGGGACGGTTACAACAGTTATCTTCACTGTACTAATGATGCTTTTGGAACAAAATCACTGTAATTTGAAGTAAAGAAGATATAGGAAGTTTTTATAATGGAATCAAAGGAGTTACCAATAATAAAACATATTATTTCTTGTGTTTTCTTCTAGGTTGGTGGACCTCCTCCGGCAGGCTTTAAA